CCCATTATACTATAATTATGATGAGGAACCTCCCAAACTAGTATTGGTGATTATTAAGGCCCCTATACTAGTAGACAGAAAAACGGGCCTGCATAGCACGCATGGATAATTTGAGAGGTTGCAACGGTTGAAATTCTAGTTGGGGACGATAACCCTAAGCCCTTATAGAACCCTTTCAGGAACCCTTTAAAGGAACCCGATGAAGGAGCACGATTGCCAAACCTTGGCGTTCCGTAACTCTTCGAAAAGCTCCCACGAAGCCCAGTCCAAAACCTCTGCCACAGAGGGCCTCATAACATCTGAACCAACACACACCTCCCGTATACAAACGTTGTAGACGAATCCCCAACTGCTTCTACAAAGCCAGCCGAAATTTGCCAAGATCCGATAAAACTACATTGGCCGAGCGTGCTGCCATTTGGAAGGTTCCACAGCTCGAAAGCTTAGGCTGCAGCAGGTGGGTGAACTGGCCGTACCAATACCACACGCCTCGGTGTTTCGGGGGCCGGTTCTAGTTTTGGGTTTGGGAGCTGAGGAGCGCAGCCTCAGGTTGCACAGAACTACAGGCCCGAGTCTGACATAAGTGAACAAGATTAAGTGTATATGGTGCGCGTGTATATATATATATACACACACAAATAAGAACGTGCAATACATACATACCTTTGTGTAAGCTTTCATGGTACACCCCCATCCGTCCATCCATGCATGCATGCATCAATCAGAGTACTGCTCATCGGAGGGTAGTATGACTGTAGGATCCCGGCAGGTTATGCTCGCAGTACTTTGGCTTGGAGCTGCGCCGCATACGGCACGGTGGCACAGTTTGGTGTGACTTTCTGGCTTCACGGCGTTTCGTTGCTTTAGCTCATCTGTTCATACTTTCGAGAGGGGAGCTTACTGCGAAGGGAAAGGGGGCTACCTGAAAAAAGGACACTGGTCTAGTCCGGCGCTCCACAAGTGACAGGTTTGCCCTGCGCCGTGCATGCGGGAAACCCTGCCGCGCATCTCCTAAATTAGGAAAGTCCCGCATGGCTGCCCTTGTCACATGGGCTTGTCTTGAATCTGGAGGGTTAGGGTTACATAAGGCACGGACTGATCGGGATGTAGAAGAAGTTCACCCACGTCAGCCACAGAAGCAGCTTCCTCTCGTACCTGTGCGGCTGAGCAGAAGTACAGTTCAGACCCGGAGCCCGTCAATCCAGAATCCAGCCCCTTTCCGTGCCACGAACACAACACTAGTTTCCCAGTAGCATCAATTTTTCCAATGACTGCCGCGGAGGTGGGCACTCGGTGACCAAGATCGATGCAGCACGGGCGATGGGCTCCTGGTCGAGGATCCAGGCGCGGCGAGAGTGCCACTTGGTGTAGTAACCTCTGCAGGGATCTTCCTGACCCTGTTGAGCAAAACTCGTAGGGATTAGGGATTCTTAGCACGCTTCCACCCACATGTTGCAGCCCAGCACCAGAAGGCGGAAAGAAGCTTTGAGGACATCCAGGCAGGAGTTTCAGGGTCTAAGAGTCAGACAATCTACGTGGCACCGGCTATGTTCTGTTCTGCCCGGAACTACTCTTTCGTTTCCACTCGGACAATGACAGGCCGGAATTCGGACAGTCGGACATTGAGCCTTGCAGCATCGACAGGGCCTAAAACCGTAGATGCAGGCACCTTCCCTTCTTATCTTGGAGATTTTCGGCTTCAAGAAGACGAAGGAAAGACGAAAGAGCAGGGCCTCACAGGATGCAAGGCACATACTCTTTGGATCTGACTTGCTGGGAATTGTCTCGGTTTGAACCCGGCCCTTGGACTCCGACGACATGTGGGAGTTTCCGAAAGCAAGGGGTACCTTATTTTGGGGTCCTGATAATTAGGATCCTAGTAGGGTACTACAGTAAGGGTCCTACTATTTAGGGTATTATATTAGGGTCCTACTACTTGGGGTACTCTATTATTAGGGTCCCCCATTTTCGGACACTCCCATGTTGCTCTCGTTGCGCAGGGGAGCCATGGAACATGCTCATCCCTGCGCGCAAGAAGCACGGGTTCACGTAGTCTCGGAGCAGCATCTGAACACCCTGCAGCCAGGCTCCTCATAACTAATCTGGTAGACTTAATCTAGGGCCTTCTATGCTTGGAATAGGGCTTTGGGGTATAGTATGCTATAATTATAATAAGGAACCCCCAAAATAGTGTTGGTAATTATTTAGGCTGCTATATCTGACTGATGTAGACTTCACTGATCTACGACCTTGCTATTCCACAGTCAACCGTCGCAGGCAGCGCCTGCCTGTGACGTCCACCCAACGCCAAGCCTTCTGCGCAAACCTCCGGTTGCCAGTCGAGAAAAATTCCCCTACAGTCCTCTATATATACATATATATATATAGTCTACTTTAATTAATTCCTTTTTCTCCTTATAGTCCTATGTAGATGGTATAATATACTTACCCATATCTTCTTCCAATTGTTAACATCCCTACCTTCGCTGGCTAAACTCCTGTCAGCGGGATTCGGGTCACGAGCCAGAGGTGGCTGGACACACCTGGGGCCTGGGGAGCTCCGACGAATATAGGAAATCGATTCAGAAACCCTGGCCCTAAACCCTAAACCCTAAACCCCCAGATCTTAGGATCGATATAAGAGCCGAAAAGAACCCTTACAACGACCCCAGGTCTCTGAATCAGGTTCCTAATTAAATTGCTGTGGAGGGTCTGAGTTAACAATATTGCAGGGGCCTTAGTAATTAGAATAGGGCTTTGGGGCCCATTTATACTATAATTATAATAAGGGGCCCCCAAGATAGTATAGGTAGTTATTAAGGCCCCTATATTGCCCCATAATCCCTTGTTCAAGCAAGCCCAGAAAGTACAATGTGCACCACAAAGCCTATTCCGATTCTTTTGGCCCCCAAGATTAGCCGGCCAAACTTATGTGCAGGAAATTGCCGGAACGCGGTCTCCGCAGGAAAACTGCTGTTCTTTGGCTGCCTCCCTGATTCAATGCCAGAAAAGAACCCGAAATCCCTAGGGCCGTTCATTAGTGAACGAAGCATTTGGGCGTGTCCGGACTTCCGAGACCCGGACGACTCCTGGTTTGAGGAGACCACGGCCGTGGAGGAGGCGCGGGTGAAGGCGCGAGCCCCAACCTTTGGGAAAGGGAAGGAGGGATCACGGGCGTGATGGGCTTCGCGGTTGCTACTCAGACAACTAGTCGAAGAAAGATACCTTATACCGTTATACCGCAAGTCCCCAAGCTGAAGCCCCTCACCTTCTAATGACGACTGGCCCGTCACCCAAATTGCGGCCTGCGCAGCACGACGGAGCATGGTGGGAACAGGCCGCCGGGCGAGCTCTACAAATGTGACCTTTGCCCTCTCGAAATGCCTGCGGAGAGTGGGCCGGCAAATGGCTTATGGCAACTCGGGAGTGTGGCGGCTAGGGGAAGCACTATGCTCGAAATCACGATAGTGACCTTAAGGTTGTGTGGTGGCCGCATTGATGCAGACAAAGAGCCTTTCACGTTGACTCTAATGAGATGCCAGGGTTTGCGGGTTGACATCATTACATGCACCGGCAACGACATGACAATTGAGGGGTATGGCAGACGTAGCATGCTGAAGCTCTTTATATTTAAATATATAAGACATGATAACATATATATATATATACACAAGAAGAAATAATGATAATACGAATAATAATAACAATAATAATAATAATAACCAACCAAACACAGACACTTAATGCAACTGAAACATCGAATGCACATACAAACAAACAAACAAACAAACAAACATACAAACAAACAAACATACATACATACATACTTACATACATACATACATACATACATACATACATACTTACATACATACATACATACATACATACATATATATATATATGCATACGTAACTAAATATGTGTATATATACATATACATTATAGTACGTAAGCTATAATCAACAGATATGTTGTTCGATTTGTGTATTGCCTATTATACGTTCTATGGTATGTACTATGCATTGCTTGTTGTAGGTTTTATGTTATAGTTATATATATATATATATGTATGAATCATAACGTATCTGCGTTTATATTATATGTTGCATGATGTATAGCAGATACTATATATTGCATTATACTCTTTGTATAATAGAGTATAACATAATCTAAGATAGTATACAACAAGACAAGACCAGGTAATATGAGATGATACCTAGTATAATGTATAATTTCATGCATACTGATGCACCATAATGTCTTATCATTCAACATGTTATAATATAGCATAGTAGGATATAGAACAATACAATATAATCATGATTGGAATATTTAGTATAATGTGTAATGATATATAACAACATGACATGATGCACAGCATGGAAAACCATAAACATGTAACATATCATGTACAAAAGCAACTATGTTACATAGAATATATCATGCGCTATGCGCTATATGTTGCATGATATAGGTAGTGTCTTCAATACTATGCAATAAACAACACCTTTAACATATTGGGTACCATGTTTTTTAGAAGTGTATAGAACTATACATATACCTATATACACATCCATACACATACATCTCTCTCTCTCTATATATATATATATACATATGTGGAAATATACATATATACACACATGAACATATATATATATATATATATAGCGCGTTAGGTTTGGATGTGCGGCCTTTCCAATCTGTTCCACAACCCGGTCTCGCTGTCATGGCGAGGGAATCGTCTGACTTTTTTAACCGCTCGCACAGGAAGTAGTCGTTGGCTGAATTCCTTGTGATCCAGTTTAAGTCGTTTCTGGGTTTCTGGGTCCTGAATTCCAACTCAGTCAACCCCCTTCTACCATAGCGCGTGAACAACTTCAGTTCGCCCGCTTCTGGCTGCACACTGGGCCAAACAGTTCATGAGAAGCCAAATCAACTGCAAGCCAAGCCCGACCTTTGGCTAAGGCTGCCGCATGCAGGGACAGCAATATCAGAAATAGCAGCACGAGTATTCGTAACACAGACGAGGGAATAGTCATAAATCAATATTTCGATCAATCGCCGTTACCGTTATACTCATCTGAACAAACGTACATTGGCGAGTTCGCCTTTGACAAGATGTACTTTTGGAGTCTCTGCCTCTGGTGCAGCATGGCTGGCAAACTCCAACAGTCGGCCTAGCAAAGTCCTCAATCCAAGACATCTCTGCGCAAACAGGCAGAGCACTGTTTTGTGTCCCATCCAAACATGGGTATACGCAAGATAACAGATGAGGAGACGGGAACATGCTTCATGAAGCTCTAACGGTACGAACATAAATTCGCTTCAAGCCCCTGTCCGAGCTGCTGATCGTTTGCTGCATGGATACGACCCGAAACCCAAGTCCTAAATGCTGCTGGGACCTATGTACAGCCTTCCTGCGCTCAGCGGCCGACTCCTTGGGTGAAGGGCGCAAAGGTGGACAAAAAAAAAAACGCTGCTAAGACTGACACGAGCAGCCACAACATGTGGTCCTAGGCCCTGGGTGTAAGAATCAAGCCGGTGTCGGTTTCCAAAATGACCGTGACGGCAGACATGAGAGTGAGCACGAGAGCATTCTACTGCTTCTGTGGCCGCTGGGGCATTCGGTGCTCAAGTTACTACTACTACTACTACTACTACTACTACTACCACTACTACTACTACTACTACTACTACTACTACTACTATGCTACTACTACGACCACTACGACCACTACTACTGCTGCTGCTGCTGCTGCTACTACCACCACTACTATTGCTCCTCCTCCTGCTGCACCGTTTTCGCTAGCAATACCAACACAAATTGTCGTACAAATGACATGAAGGGCATGACGGACAGCCAAACAGCCTGTGTTAAATGCTCTGCTGTAGAAATAGAAAGAAGCAATACTTGTAGAATCCGTGAAGGGCGAGAACAGTTTCTGATAGTAGTTGTTCACACAGCCCCAAACCACCCTGAAGCATTTTGAGCCCGGCAGCCTCGCAGCAGCCACTTACTTCGATTCTTCAAAGGACTAAGCCCGAGTCCGGGCTCGTGGAGTTTCGAACGACACTTCTAAAGTTCGACCACATCCCTTGAAATTCAAGACAAGTTGGGATTTACCTTGGAGGGGGCAAGGCTTCTCCTACTCTGTCCATACCCCGAACCGCAAGACCCATAAACCCCAAAACTGAGAGCCCGGCCTAGACCCTAAACCCTCAACCCACAAACCCCAAAACCGAGAGCCCGGCCCGGCCCAGAAAGCCTTCACTTCCGGGTCTTCGTAAACGTTTGCCCTGAAAGCTTCTGCACCTCGTCAGCAGATGCTCAACTCAGGAGCTGGCATGTCAATACGAAGTACATCAATAGGGACGGGTTTTCGGTTTAGGGTTTAGGGTTTAGGGGTTTAGGGGTTTAGGGTTTAGGGTTTATGTAACTAATATCTGAAAAATACAAGAGTAGTTTAGTAAAGCGTCTTATAGCATCTGATATCTTACTATGCGGTAATTACTACAGTATTTATACTATAACATAAAATACTGCGTTAGTGGCAAAGCCAAGATTTCTGGAGTTCAGAGCAGCCTCTTCGCACCAGGTTGCATCAACAGTGACAGAGTATTGGTAAGCATGACATTCGCCGTGCGTGTAGATGCTATCATCCGTATTGAAGCTGCAGTTGAAGCTAATTTAGATCAAAACACTATGTCCCAACTACACCCCGTACACCTTAAACCTTCCACCACACACCATGAACCCTAAACCCTAGGCGCCCACTCCGAGGTGCACACTCGCATCAAATCCTTTCGCAGCTTGGATGCTTCGTCGTGCGCTGCCTGGCGATCTCGAGAGATGCTGACAGCACTAATGCTACAGACGCTCAGCTCTCCTGAATACATCCCTACACCCGAACTAAACCGTCTGAATTATAGTAGTAGCAGCAATAATAATACCAACAACAACAACAATAGTGGTAAACAATAACAATAACAACAAGAATAATACTATTCTGGCTGCTCACAAGCATGTCTTCCACACTCCCCAAGAGCCACGTTTCCACAGTACTTTGGTGGCCCACAAGAATAATACGTCTCGGTCGCTTGGAGGTCCCATCCCGGGCATCACGGAAGGCCTTCTGGAGCTGCTCCATCTCAGCCTGATGAGGCGAACGAGGTTTAGGTTGGTTGGTTGGTTTAGGGTTTAGGGTGTAGGGTTTAGGATTTAGGGTTTAGGGTTCGAGGTCTCGGTTTCGAGTTCGACGTCGTGGGTGACATGTCTGTGTGCGCAGTAGCGCCTGAAGAAGAACTGCAATGCCAAAAAAGCGGACCGACCCACCCACCTACCTATCTACCTACCTACTTACCTACCTGCCTACCTACCTACCTACCTACCTACCTACCTACCCACCTACATACATACGTGTATATGTGTATGTATGTATGCATGCATGTGTGTATGTATATATGCATGTATGTATGCTTGCATGCATATATCTGCGTATGTACTGGTGTATCTACATATGTATATATATATATGTATGTATGTATGTATGTATGTATGTATGTATGTATGTATGTATGTATGTATGTGTGTCTGTGTGTCTGTGCACATATGTGTCATACAAATAATGAAAACAGAAACTACATGATATATGTATGTATACACACAGATACAGACACAGATACAGATATAGAGAAAGGTCTAGATACAGATCTAGAATTAGATTTACACGCACGCACAAACACACATCGGTGTGTAGAGCTTGCGACGGCAGGTTCGTTGATGATGCCTCCTCGACAGCTTCCTCGATCAGCTCGATCTGGGCGGGGCTTGGTTTAGGGTTTAGGATGGTTTAGGGTTTAACCGGGAATTTCGCACCAGGCATCTGTAAGGCGTCCCTGAAGCAGAAAGATCTCGGGGCCCTCTAAGCAATCAACAGGGGCCTTATTCCAGAGTTGGAATAGCATTGCGGAGGTATTTTGCACAAAAGACTAGATCGATCACGGCACTGCAAGGGGATACTGTGAGTATGGCGCCGGCCGTATCGTCCGGCCGGCCGGTCCGGTTGGCCGGTCACGGTCTGTTCCCGTACATGGCGCCCTTCTGTGGCGGCTACTAAAATTATTCCGACACCTAATTTTCCCGAATCTAAGCAACCTTCGAGGGATTGGGGCCCGGGCCAAGGTCGGATCCCGCGAGGGTTCTTTGCTCTCGGGCCGACCTGGCGCAGTTTGACGCGGGGGATCCCTGCAGAAGGTGGCGGTTTGGCTTACAAAAAGGGTTCTACAAGTGTGAGTTACTCCAATCAGGGGTGCTATAAGG